TATTTATTTTATTTATCTATATTATTTATTTATTTTATTTATTTATTTTATTTATTTATTTTATTTATTTGTTGTGTCACAACTGCCGCTGCTGCTGAAGCAACTGCTGCTGCTGCTGCTACAACTGCTGCTGCTGCTGCTACAGCTTCTGCTGCTGCTGCTACAACTCATACTCCTACTGCTGCTGTTGCTGAAACTGCTGCTGCTGCTGCTGCGAAAACTCCTGCTGCTCTTGCTGCTGCTGCTGCTGCTGCCACAACTCCTGCTGCTGCTGCTGCCGCAATTCCTGCTGCTGCTGCTGCTGCGAAAACTGCTGCTGCTGCTTCCGCAATTCCTGCTGCTGCTGCGCCTGCTGCTGCTGCGAAAACTGCTGCTGCTGCTGCCACAACTGCTGCTGCTGCTGCCGCCGCAATTCCTGCAGCTGCTGCACCTGCTGCTGCCGCTGCTGCGAAAACTCCTGCTGCTCCCGCTGCTGCTGCCACAACTGCTGCTGCTGCTGCCGCAATTCCTGCTGCTGCTGCTGCTGCTGCTGCTGCTGCTGCTGCTGCAGGTGGTGGTTCCGTTTTTGACGCAGTGTTATTCGGACTCGGTCGATCCCCCGGAGGAGTCGATCCCGCTGTGCACTTTGCGGCATTTTCCCCACACATTAGAGCACACAATTGGTATATTTTTTTTTCTTTTTTTGCTTTTTTGGGCTCTTTTTTCTCCTTTTTCCTCCACTTTCTCTTTTTTTTATTCTCCTTTTTGAATTCTTTTCAATTTGCTTTTCAATTTCCTCTTTTCAGCTCTTTTTGGAGCTTTTTCGGCACTTTTTGGCACTTTTTTGGCACTTTTTCGCCTTTTTGGAACTCCAGGACTTTTCTACTTTTCTTGCTTTGATACTTTCGAGGCCTTTATTTCTTTTATTTCTTTTTTATTTCTTTTTATTTCTTTTTTATTTCTTTTTTATTTCTTTTTTATTTCTTTTTATTTCTTTTTATTTTCTTTTTTATTTCTTTTTTATTTCTTTTTTATTTCTTTTTATTTCTTTTTTACTTCTTTTTATTCCTTTTTTATTTCCCTCTAATTCCTTTTTAATTCTTTTTATTTCGTTTTTGTCTCTTTCATTTTATTGTTGTTTCTTTGTCTTTTGTATTTCCATTTTTGTTTTCTTTTCTTAATGCTTCCTTTTGATTTCATTTTAAATTCTTTTATTATTTATTTGCACTTTATTTATCATTTATTGTTATTAATTTATTATTAATTGCCACTAATTAATTAATTAATTGGAATTAATAATAAAAATAAATTTAAATTTAAGTTTTGAAATTATTTTTTTTTCAGAATGGGCTCGAGATCTTTTCCAGGGTTTGTTCTCCGACAGAATGACAGAAGCTGCTCAATTTGCTGCAAACCCTCAAGGGTTTTTGGACCAAGTCCTTTCAGGCAAACCCTAAACCCTAAACCCTAAACCCTCGCGGCGCTCCCCGGGCCTGCCCAAGCGCCAACAAACCCTAAACCCTAAACCCTAGCTTTCTAGAATGCGCAGCTTGCACTTAGCCGACCTAAGCGCCAGCGTGCAAACCCTAAACCCTAAACCCCAATCAGTGGTTTTCGAAGCGCCGCTCTCTCGCGCGGGCAGCCGCAGCAGGGCTTAGGGTTTAGGGTTTAGGGTTTAGGGTTTAGGGTTTAGGGTTTGCTGGTCGCAGAGGGCAGTCCTTCGCAGCAGCTGCAGCGGCTGGAGCAGCTGCTCGAAACCGTCGGCGTCTACACGGCCTCTTCAGGTGTACGTACAGCTTCGGGTGTACAGGCAGCTTCGGGTGTATAGGCAGCTTCGGGTGTACAGGCAGCTCCGGGTGTATGCACGGCTTGGGGTGTACAGGCAGCTCCGGGTGTATGTACAGCTTGGGGTGTATGTACAGCTTGGGGTGTATGTACAGCTTGGGGTGTATGTACAGCTTGGGGTGTATGTACAGCTCGGGGTGTACAGGCAGCTCCAGGTGTATGTACAGCTTGGGGTGTATGTACAGCTTGGGGTGTACGTACAGCTTGGGGTGTACAGGGAGCTCCAGGTGTATGTACAGCTTGGGGTGTATGCACAGCTTGGGGTGTACAGGGAGCTCCAGGTGTACGTACAGGTTGGGGTGTACAGGCAGCTCCAGGTGTACGTACAGGTTGGGGTGTGTGCAGAGTGTGGGGTGTACAGGGAGTTTCGGGTGTCCGTACAGCTCCGAGTTTGCGATCTTGCGTGGAAAGCGGCGTTTTATTATTTCACAATTTATTTAATTTGCAAATTCGGCAGTTGTTGGCGGCCTTTCCTCCAAACCACCGAACTGCTGCAGGACTTCCTTTTTGGACTCCGCCAAAAAGAACTCCTTCTCCCATTTCCTTCGACGCTTCCCAAGACCTCCACGCGAACTTCGTGCTTGCTGCTGCTTGCCTCTTCTGCCACGCCTACGTGAGGGTTTAGGGTTTAGGGTTTAGGGTTTAGGGTTTAGGGTTTAGGGTTTAGGGTTTAGCC